CCAGCCCCTCACTGGGGGATTCTAGGCAGGGGCTCTACCACTGAGCCACACCCCAGCCCCTCACTGGGGGAGTCTAGGCAGGGGCTCTACCACTGAGCCACACCACAGCCCCTCACTGGGGGATTCTAGGCCGGGGCTCTCCTGCTGAGCCACACCCCAGCCCCTCACTGGGGGATTCTAGGGAGGGGCTCTACCCCTGAGCACACCCCAGCCCCTCACTGGGGGATTCTAGGCAGGGGCTCTACCACTGAGCACATCCCAGCCCCTTACGGGGAGTCTAGGCAGGGGCTCTACCCCTGAGCCACACCCCAGCCCCTCACTGGGAGATTCTAGGCAGGGGCTCTAGCACTGAGCCATGTCTCCCAGACTGTCTTTTAATATTTTTGTTTTGAACCAGTGTCTTACTAATAAGTAGCCCAGGCCAGCCTAGAACTCAGTTTGTAGCTCAGGCACTACTTCAACTTTTGAGGCCTCCCAAGTAGCCTTGTCCCAGGCCTGTGTCACCAGCAAGGCAAGGCTTTTTTAAAAATAAGATTAATTGATGTGTTCTGCTGCATGTACACCTACTGGCCAGAAGAGGGCACCAGATCTCACTATAGATGGTTGTGAACCGCCATGTTGGTGCTGGGAACTGAATTCAGGACCTCTGGAAGAGCGGCCTGTGCTCTAACCACTGAGCCGTCTCTCCAGCCTCCCAGGTAGGGCTTTTAAACTCCCCAGTCTAACTCTATTTTAAAAATGTCTCAAAATCAAAGTACATATTCCGGAAGTTTGCCAGAACTTTGTGTTTCTCGGGAGAAGTGTGACCCGGATGAGAAAGCACGTGAAGAGTGTGAGCCACGGCAGGTTCTCCCAGTGCTGAGGGTGGGGCCGGAGGCTGACAGTCCACAGCGTGAGGCCTAGTAAACAGGACGGGCTTGATGGGCCCAGATGGATGATGTCCGTGCAGTGGTCCGGAGTGACTTCCCCGACGCCTGTTCCCCGGCCGGCTCTGCTGGGTGGAGCAGCTGGACCCAGCCCTCTCCGAGCGAGGTGAGCCAGCCTGCCATGTCGCGTCTGCGCCTTCGGCTGTGTGGCACCTGCGTGGCACCCGCTGCGATTCCCGTTCCCGTAACTGTGCAGTGTCCTATGTTCGGGACAGCCTCAGTGTTAGAGCAGACTGAAAGCAGAGCACCGCCTGCCTCTGTCTCCACAGCATGACCTTAGAGGTGTGCCTCACCACGCCTGTGAGCTGCAGTGTTTAACCCGGCGGGGGGACGCACCACGTGCCTGGCATGCAAGGGCCCCATGCAGTGCATAAGGGAATGGAGGAGCTGAAAGGCTGAATTTCAGACCCAGGGGTTTGGTTGTTTGGTGTCTGACGGACACTGCTTCTTGGGAGCCAGAGACAGTACAACGCGTCTGCAGGTGAGTGAGAGCCGGCTCCCAGGGATGAAACCTAAGTCAGTCTGTCCCTCCTCCTCCCTCTCTTTCCCTCCTTTCTCCCTCCCTCCTTGCCTCCCTCCTTCCTTCCTTCCTTCCCTCCCTCCCTCCTTTCCTTCTTTCCCTCCCTCCTTCCTTTCCTTCTTCCCTTCCTCTCTTCTCTCCCCTCCTCCCTTCCTCCTTCTCCCTCCCTCCTTCCTTTCCTTCTTTCCCCCTCCCTTCCTCCCTCCCCCCCCCCCCCTCCTTCCTCCCCCCCTCCCCCCTCCCTTCTTCCTTCCCCCTCCCTTCCTCCTTCCCCCTCCCTCCCTCCTTCCTTTCCTTCTTTCCCCCTCTCTTCCTCCCTCCTTCCCTCCCCCTTCCTTCTCTCCCTCTCTCCCTTTGTCTCCCTGTCAGACTGGGCCTCACATACTCCCAGCTGCTGGCTGCAGTCGACCTTGAATGTCTGAGCAGCTGTTGCCTCCTTTCTGAGTCCGAGATTGGGAGATTACAAGGGAGCACCACCGGGTCAGCTCAGGAGTCTGTCCATACAGAAGTGAGAGAGGGACAGACAGGACAGGTCACTGGCACTCGCTGAACCCTGTAAAAAGCATGGCCAGGCTTGGTATGTTGGCAGAGCGTCCCCAGCACAAAGGCTGCAAGCAGGCCTCTGTGCCAGCCAGCGAGTGTGGATGTTAGGGCAGCAATAAATCACAAGAAATCACAATAAATCAGGGCGCCAACACCCAGCACCGGAGATGTTGTTCTTGGTGGGCAAGGGAACACGAGCTGCCAGGACAGGGCGGGGCTCGGGGAGGGAAACAGGGCACGCTGAGGCTGGGAACACCACAGCAGCTGAGGCACCCTCACCTCCCTGGGGAGAAGCTGGCCCTGGGTAGGTGAACAGCAGGCCAGCTTCCCGGGTCAGCCAGGAGGAAGGGGGCGAGGTGGGGTGAGGCCGAGAGGAGGGTGCCGCTTCCCGAGGGGCTGGTGATCATTGTCAGAATTGACCGAGGGCTTCCTCAGCAAGAGAGCAGAGCTCCTGGCTCCTGCGTGGCAGAAAGAGCAAGTCCACTTCACACGCTGTCCTCCAGCTGCCATCCGAGGGCATGTGTGTACCCACGTGCGTGCACGTGCCCGCACACACCGAAAATCATACTTTGAAAAAGTACGTTGAGCTTGCATGTAACATTTGTTCCAGCTGTATAAAAATACTTCCCAGCTATTAAAAAAAAAAAAAAAAAAAGCTGGACGAGATGGCTTTTGCTTGTAATCCCAGAGTTCAGGAGGATTGTTGAGCGTGGCTTAGGGCTAGGCTGGCTACACAGTGAATCCCAGGCTAGCCTGGGTTACAGAGTGAGACTGTGTTTAAAGTCCAAATAAAATGCACCTACGGGCTAGCTCTCGTGGTGAAGCTTACTCCGTGAGCCTGAGGAACTTGGTCCAGTCATCATGACCACGCACAGAAGCTGGATGGAAGTGACCTTGTACCCCCAGAACTGGGGGGCACTGGTGGGGTTCACTGTCCAGCCATGAGAGACCCTGGCTAGAAGAAAACAAAGATAGGCTGTCCCTGCAGACTGATCCTGAGGCTGACCTCTACACTCTGTGTGTGTGTGTGTGCCCGCGCGCGCGCACACACACACAGACACAGAGGGGGGGCTGACAAAGTGGCTCAGTGGAGAGCCCCTGCCTAGACTCCCCCAGTGAGGGGCTGGGGTGTTGCCTAGAGTGGATAGTGGGGTCAGGAGGAGCAGCAGCTGTCCAGTGCACAGTTGCCCAGTGCTACAAAGTAAGGGAGGGAGAGCACGAGTGTGTGCTAGGCCGTGCTAGGCCGTGCTAGGCTGTGCTAGGCCGTGCAAGGCCGTGCTAGGCCGTGCAGCTAGCTCTTGAGAGAGGCGATGGAAGCCAGTGTGGACGTGCAGCGGGGGCACACTCAGGTGGATGTGGCAAGGTCCTCAGAGTGAGGAGGGCGGCTGTGAGCCATTGTGGAGGCTGGCTTCTGCTCTCCGAGCCCTGTGCGCCCCATCCCCGAGGGAGTGCAGGCCGCACAGAAGCAGGGGGGAAGCGGGTCCAGGCGCCCAGGCCTGCAGCCAGCCCTCTGAGAAGGTGCCCCAGGGCACGCTGTCTTCTGAGGGCTGCGGGTGTCTGTCGGCCAGAAGCCCCCAGGTGGAGACCGTTCAAGACGACACACGTGTGCTTGTGCACATATGTGCACCCAGCAGCGTGCAGGTTGCTGCGGGGGGGAGCAGGACTCGGCGCACACCAGGCCGGCACTCCTGGCACTGCCCGCTGAGCTGCCCTCCCCACTCCCACCTCCAGAGGTGACTCCTCGGGAGGCCCCTGGCTAACCCCAGGTTAGCCCAGGGCAAGCCTGGCCTGGCAGGAAGTCCAGAGATAGCCCAGCTGGGTGACTCAGGGTGAGCAGCCAGGGCGGTGGGCACGCCAGCCCGGGGCTCTGATTTACAGGCCGGGCACAGGTAAGCTGGGCTCTGCAGCTGGACATGCGGCCTCCAGGCTGCAGCCTTGGGTGTGCTCTGCACATTCGGTGTCCAGGTGTGTGCCATGGGGAAGGTGAGGTGTGGGCAGGGTCAAAGGGCAACGGCTGGGCGAGGAGAGCACTGACCTGAGGGCGTCCTAGGATTCCCAAAAGCTGTGCTCTGGCCTGCACCCACCTGAGCCCACGATGTGTGCGTGCTCACACGCACACAAACACACACTATGTATTTAAAAAGCAGAACAAGACAGTGCCAGTCAGGGTGGCACATGGCAACCCCAGGCTTCCGGAGCTGAGGCACAGCTAGCTGAGGCTAGCCTGGGCTACACAGTTCCGGGACAGCCAGGGCTACGCAGAGAGACCCCGCCCCAGACAAAGAAATAAATGGTGGAGCAGAGGCTGACCTGGGGCCTGCACACGATCCTGTGCTCACGGGCACACAGACCCGAGCAAGAGAAGTTACAGAGTTCGGAGTGGGGCTGGAGCCGGACACACGGTGGGCGCCCTGTGCCAGCCCCTGCTTTTCTCCAGTAGGTGCAGGGGGCTGGGGCACGGCTGGGAGCCGCCGTGTGTGTGTGTGTGTGTGTGTGTGTGTGTGTGTGTGTGTGTTCGCCCGCTGGCCTCAGGTCCTTTCTGCCGGGGCTGCTGTTTTGTTCTTTTAAATGTGTTTCCTTGTGGTGGTGGACACACCACCAGGCTGTGTGTCGGGGACAGCCTGGCCTCCTTCCCTGCCCTCCTGAGCGCACACCAGCATGCTGGCAGCGAGCTCTGCACCCACTCAGCCTTGAACTCCTAATCCTGCCTCTTGTAGCCTAGGCTAGCCCCAAACTGTCCTTCTGCCTTCCTTTGGTGGTGTTTGTTTTGAGACCAGGTTCCAGCATGGGCCTCAGGCTATCCCGGGCTCAATGTGTCAACGAGAATGGCCTTGAACTCACGGAGATCCCCCTGCCTCTGCGGCCCCCACAGAGGAGGAAACTGAGGCCGGGCCAGTGGAATCCGAAGGACAGAAACAGCCTGTTCACCATTTATTGAGCATGACAGCGGCGGGCGGGCCCCGCGCCCTCCTCCTGCGCCCTCCTCCTGCGAAGCCGGCCCGCGGACCCCGCATCTCCTCCAGGGCACAGTTCTGGTGAGGGCACGGGTGCGTGCAGCGGGGACCACGCTCCTGCTGCGGTCGGGTCCAAGCCAGCGACCCCTCCCAGCTGCCACCACCAGAGTCCGTGCATGTCGCCGTGGGCCCACTGTGTGCCGGCGTGTTTGTCCACGGGCCTGAAGAGCTGAGGACGTCCTTGAGCTCAGCCCTTGCGTGCAGAGCCTGATTCTTCCTGGATCTGAGGAGGTGTAGAAGGATGGCAGATCGGAGGGCCCAGGGGCAGGGTGCCGAGGTGGGAAAGGAGGGCACGGGTGGGATGGGGACAGACACCAGCGAAAAGGAAGAGGGCCAGGAGGCCAAGCCACTAGAGCAGGGATGTTCTCAGCACAGAGCCCCTGCCTAGAGTTCCCCAGTGAGGGGCTGAGACCCCTCCTCCCACCCTCTTCCCCTCCTACTGGACCCTCATCCTGCCCAGGCCCCGCCCATTCTCCTGCCACACCCCGGCTTCACCCGCCCCCGGCCCCGCCCCTCCTCCGGCCCCGCCCCTCACCAGCTAGGTGTCCTCTGCGCTGGGCTGTGGCAGCGGCTGCAAGGCGCGGTCCAGCAGCTCCATCAGGGCGTCCAGCCGCCCCGCCAGCCCGTCGATCCTGTCCTCCAGGGCGCGGTGCGAGGAGCTGAGGCCGCGCTGCAGGTCGCACAGGGCCATGTGCATCTGCGCGGGAGGGCGGTGGCTGCGGCGCGTGCCCGCCCCACGGGGGGCGCCCCAGGCTGCGGCCCGAGGCCCCGGCGCTGCCGGTGGGAGCCGTCGCCCCGCCTGGCCGCCGCTCTGCGCGCACTCAACCCGCCCGCCCGCGGGCCGCGCTGCTGCTGGCTGGCTGTCTGTCTGCCCGGGACTCACTGTGGCCAGGCTGGCCTCGAACTCAGAGCCCCGGCCTCCCGAGCGCCGCCCCCGCCCGCTCCTCACGCCCTGGGACAGCGTCTCGGGCGTGAGCTCACAGTTGTTCGGACCCAGGCCCGTGGCGGGGTGGGGGGAGCCCTGCACGGCCCCGCCCGCCCGTCGGTACCTTGGAGATGTCCACCATGGAGTTGACCTGCTCCCGGAGCTTCCGGTGTTTCGTGCGGACCTGGCGGAACCTGCGGGGGGGGGGGGCGCGGGGAGGAGAAGGAGCAGGAGCAGGAAGGCACACGCGGGCGTCAGGCCTGGGTGCGCGTGCGCACACACACACACACACACACACACACACACACACACACTCAGCGCTGCACACACTCGGCGGCGCCAGGACAGGCCCTCACCTGAGGATGGCAGCCAGCACCCTGCGCTGGTGCCGGCGCGCGGCCCGCGTGTCCTTCCGGCGCGTGTGCTTGTAGTGCATCCAGGCCTCCTGCAGCAGCCGGGCCGCCGACTCCCGCATCTGTGGGACACAGCGAGGACACGGTGTGGACACAGCGAGAGCGAGGACAGTGTGGATGGACACAGTGAAGACACAGTGAGGACAGAGTGAGGACAGTGTGGACAGTGTGGACACAGTGAGGACAGTGTGGACAGTGAGGACACAGTGAGGACAGTGTGGACAGAGTGAGGACACAGTGTGGGGACACAGGGCCCCTCCACCATGGCCCGGCACCGTGGGAGCCCAGGCCGTCTCGGGCGCCATGCCCGCCTCACCTCTTTGGCACAGTGGATGTCCATCATGAAGTTGTGCACGTGCTTTTCCGCCTTGTTAAACTCCAGCTTCCGGGCCACCACGGCCACCAGCAGGGCCGTGCAGCAGACACCCTGAGGACAGGCCGGGCGTGACGCTGGGACGGTCCCCTCACTCCCAGGACAGGTCTCCGGGCTGGCCTTGAACTCCCGGACCACGGAGGAGTGGCCCCTCTGACCCTGCCTCCACTACAGCGCTGCTGCGCCCCCGCTCACACCGCTCACACCGCTGGGGCCCTAACCCCGGTCTCCATGACACAGGACACGCCAGATTCCCAGCCCTGCTCCGTCTAGGCAGTCCAGGCTAGCCCCAAACCTGCACCATTCCTCCTGCCTCTGCCTCTCCAGTCCTGGAACCCCACGCCCGCTCCACTGGCCACCCCCCACCTCACGAGGCCGACTGGCAGGACAGAGGGCGGCCTCTCCAGCCGGCGAAAATGCGCCAGTTGTCACCTGAAAACGGCAGAGCAGAAGCCGGCACAGGGCCAGTGTGCTGCAGAGCCAGGCTGTGTGACACCAATAGACCCAGTGCCAGGGCGGGGAGGACGCACTGAGCCTGGAGGATCAGCCTCAGCTACATGGCAGGTCTGAGGCCAGCCTGGGCTACAGAGCAAGTCTGGGACGGGACAGCCAGGGCTACACAGGGAAACCCTGTCTCTGAACAAAACAGAGCAACAACAAAAATAACAATAACAAGAAAAATAAAGTAAGAATAAAAAAGAGAGAGAAGGAGAAAAGGGAGGAGGAGGACAAGGAGTCGGACAGGGAGGAGAGGGAGAGGGAGGAGAAGGAAGAGGAGGAGAGGGAGGAAAAAGAGAGGGAGGAGGACAAGGAGGAGGAGAGGGAGGAAGAGGAGTAGGAATTGGGGGAAGAGGGGGGCGGAAGGGGGGGGGGGGGGAGGGGGGGGAGGAAGGGAGGGAGAGGGGGGAGAGGGAGGAGGAGGAGTGAGGGGGCGCACGAGGCTGCATATCTGTGTCCTGACTGAAGAGGGGCTGGGCGTCCGGACGCCCACGTTTCCCGGGGTGCCGGGCCGCTGCCCGTGGTCTCGGGCAAGGCGCGGGGCGGAGCTCACCATGACGCCAGTGCATAGGCACACGATCTTGCCCCAGAAGGTGCCCGGAACCACGTCGCCATAGCCGATGGTGAGGAAGGTGATCGGAATCAGCCACAGCGTGTCTGCCAGGTGCCCCGTGGCGTTGACGACCTGCCTGCGGGCACGGGGCGGGGGCCAGCGTGGTCACACACACCGGGGTGCCCCCTGCGCGCCCCCGGTCCACCGACCCCCCATCCCCCCGCCCCCCCCCCCCCGGCCCCCCGGCCCCGGCCCCCCGCCGCTCACCTCTCGGCCACAGACAGCACCCAGGCGGTGGTGAGCCACAGGCCGAGCGTGAGGCCCAGCAGCAGGCGGCCGGGGTGCGTGTGCATGTAGAGCTTGGCCACGAACCAGTGCCGGAAGCGCACGCGGTTGAGCGCGCCGATGCTGCGGTAGGACGCGTCGAGCAGCAGCCCGCTGCGCAGGAGCGCGGCGCGCGGCACCAGGTAGAGGCGCAGCAGCATGGCGAGCGACAGCAGCGCCTCCCCGCGGCCCAGGAAGGCGCGGCGCGGGTTCGCGTCCGGGCACGGGCCGCGCAGCGGGACGGGGTGCAGCGCGCACACCAGCAGCTCCAGCGCCACCTGCGCCACCCGCCGCCGCGTCAGCGCCACGCGCCAGTCCCGCAGCCCGGTGTCCGTCATGAGGAGCTGCGGGAGGCGCGGGGCGGTGAGGGCGGCGGGCACGCGCGAGTGCGCCCGGGCCCGGGCGGCGGGGAGCTGCCCCCACGCCCTCCGCGCGAGTGGGCGCCCGAGCGCGGGCACTGTGAGGGAGGAGGCGCCCCGGACACGCTCACCTGCACCTCCTTGGCGTGGAAGGCCACGATGAGGCAGAGGAGGAGGACCGTGGACAGCGAGATCAGACCCTTCACCAGGAGCAGGTACAGCGCCCACTGCGGGGGGGACCGGCCGTGAGCGTGCGCCCAGCCCCGCGCTCCGGCCCCGCGCCCCGCGCCCCGCCCCCCAAACCCGCGCCCCGCGCCCCAAACGCGCACCCCA